GTGACTGAACAAGGTGGTTGTCTATGTAGACAAAACAGTTTCGAAATCGCTAATTGTGACGCTGTGAACCGAATGATGATGACGAAAATTATACCTGCGCTAAATTGTACCTTGAGGTACAGCTCTAGGTGAATTGCATTGCAGTAGGGTTCGTTCTAATCTCATCATCGCAGGATGCACTGGAAGATAATTGAATAAAGCCAATTCTTTAAGAAACGGCCAAATTTTGCTGAAAGAGATTGATGTGTCCAAAAGCGTCGAAAAGCACTGAAAGCGCGCACATGCGCCAAGCATCAACCACAAGCTCTTGGAAGATTACTGAGGTTTGCAAAGCAAAATTACTGGCATATTCAAGTCTTCGTTCCATTTTTTCGAAACAACTCTCGTGCCAGATTTTGAAAGAGGCCAAGTCACAGATGGACAATGCAAGAGGAAACATGATAAAAACCTTTAAACTCAAAAACAGAACTTATATAATAGTCTTGATCAAATAAAAACAGAGATATGATACGATCGGCGTGATTATTCAGCGATGTTTTGATAGAAAATGCAAGCTTCATAATCAAAGTCCGCCACTCATACTAACTTAGTATTAGTGTTTCAGCATTTTCGGGTTTTTGCATCTGAAAATTTAACCTTTGCAGTGGCAGGATACCGTTCCAAGAATTTATGTTTCAATTCCATAATTCTTCATTGAAGAAAAACCTGTATTTTGTGCACGATGCAAATACCAAATCTTTTTTATTAAGTAATGTCATCTTTACGACAAACTCAATTGCAAAGCTTAATTCGTTTGCGACGGATATCGAGAAAGTTACAGAGTCGCATAAAGTTAGGTTCAAAAATTTTGGGACAAAATACATTTTACATATTTCTTCGGTGCCGTGCAACTGGGTATCCTCCTCTTACAAGTTCGAAAATGAAATGCGAATTCACATTTTGTCAAAACATGTAGTTCAAGCAAGGAAAGTGGCTACAAACCCCATTTTATCTTTTGGGACATGAGATCTTCTCATTTTATCTGTTTAAACATGTGAGATCCTTCGAACCGTCTTCCTGTCAGAACTTGTAAGCTCGGGTCCAGAGGACGCAAATAACAAAATTTTGTTTCAACGAGACTTCCATTGGCAATAAGAAACTTCAAGCACCACTATGACGTCATAGTATGTTCGGAGATAAACTGCTCGGTAAACTCTACCTCAAGATACAAAGTATTATAATAATAATATACAATAATACTATATAAATATTATAATATAATATACATATACTGTATTAAGTGTTAATATTTAAATATATACTGCAATACTATAATAATATATATATTTTAATATATACGGTGCAATATTTACTGCGCCGTGACCGTAACACTTAGGATTGCTCCCAGCGCGAACGTAGTGTTAAAGGGAGCGAAATCGTTTTTGGGTTACAGACCATGGGCGCAATTTGCCCCGTCATGCAAATTCTATCACTTTATCCCACACTTTATCCCACATAAAACATCTTGCTCATCCAGACATAAGCATTTATATTCTCTTGTAGTCATAAAGCGAACGTTACCATTCTCAGATTTCACTCTCGCTCGAGTTAGTTTAGTGGAACCAAATTACTGGGATAACGTGTGATAAGAAATGCTGATGGGAATTCTTCGTCGTTATCTTCTGTCTGCTGAGCTATGCAGAGTTCAAGTATCTTTGGGAAACTGTAAACAGCGCTGGCAAATGTTTATCACTTATCTATACAGCGATTAAATTGAGCGTACTGAAATTGACGCCACAGGAGAAAGATCATCCTTTGTGCAGTGTGTACTGCTCCACAAACACCAATGCTGCATCAAAGAATTTGGGAAAACTGATCACTATGTACCAATTAATTCTAAATTCATTCTTTTTTTTTTTTGATTTGCGAAAAAAAGCTTATGGAGACATGATTTGAAGAGCATTGAATGAGAAAGATACATGCAAGACAGTGGCGGAGTGGGGGAGGAAGGGGGAGGAAGAGAAGAATGGGTTGGGGAATCCTCTGGAAGGTCTCCCTGACTTACAATAACATGTATGCTATTTTCGTTTGTATAATTACCTGGTCAATGAGTATAGCTAGAATTTACAAGATCCTTTCTTCCACGTTGCAAGCTCGCAAATAATCTACAAATTTTTTTCCTGCTTCTCCTCCTTCCCTCCCCATTCCTAGAAAGGTTTTCAATTGTAATGAGGTACGAGTTTTATACCAACAAAAAAGCTTCTGTGTATTTTCAAATCATTCGTAACTTATTATGCGTATTGCACAGCATACGCGCTATTTGTCGAACTCGTCAGAATAGAACTTGCCCATGTTCAGTGATTTCTCTTTGTTTCCTTGTCTCTTTCACTTGTTTGGATATCAGTCAATAATATATACTTCTACAGTTTTATGCAGCAAACAGCTCCACTGAGAAGCTACTGATAATTGAAAATGACTCGACCATACGTTATAATATCTGCCTATAGTCATCACGAACGTGATAGTTGGCATGACCATCCGGCCCTTTTTCGTACCTGTCCTACTTCCTCATTATAGCATCCTACTCACCTCACCCTCCCTTCCCCCTCCGCCCTTTGCAGAAAATGTGATTTAGTCCTTTCAGAATAAACATTATGTGGTCTTAAATTTGAACTGGAAGCCCCTGATGATAATAACATATGCTGTTCACGATGTGTTGAAAAAATTGATGTTTTTCATTTAAATCACGTGTAATTTCCTTCTCTTTCTTACTTCTTCTTCTATGCTTTTATGAGAATTACTGTAAAATGGATTTTGTTAATGTTTTGTTGAGTCAAATGCCAAACGTTATTGCATAGATCACTAATATCAGACGCTGACGCAAACTAATCAGTTCAAGACGAAAAAGACGTAGGTCTGAGCATCATTCTGGTTGAAACAGGATGAACGATGTCATTACCTATGGTCCAAAACATTCCTGGAAATGGAGGATCACAAATCAGTTATCAAAGAAGTTGCTTTGAAAGGCAGCGCTCTGCTTGTAAAAAAAAGCAGAGCATCACTTACCGTATCCGCCCGCTTCAGCAAAATTGTAATCACCATTAAGTGACGAGAGTGCACAGTTTCGCAACCACCATCCTCTTAAAAGTGTAATTTTTTTCTTGAAGAAAGAGTAGCCACTACAATTTTCAGCTAAAACAATCATACGCTTTCTGTTAGGCTGTAACACAAACATGCAGGTTGTGCATAGTTGCGCTTGTAGGGTTGCAATTCCAACAAAAATTTTTTGAAATATTATGTAGACCTTGCCAGTGACTAGCTGCGTATTTTGTCTGTATCAGCCAATAAGCACACAGTTGACCAAAAAACAAGAATTTTTTTTGTAGTTTGACAGTTTTTGAAGGTTCTTCCGAGATATAAGAAGCTGGCATGAATAGCTAAAAAGGAAATCTCTAGATTTTCCCGCAAAGGAGAAGGGCTGCAGACTTAAAAAAAAACTAAAACTCAATTCTAAATTTTCTTTTTTTTCAGCACTTCGTATAATTTTAGACCTGGGGCGTTCTAACAACAGTCACAAAAAGTTTGTAACAGTCCTGGTCTACTCATATAGGTATAGGAAATTTTAACGAGTGTTTCTTTTTCAAAATTGTAGGTCGCTTAATGTTTGTGACATATATCATGTTTGAATTTTGATGTTTTCGCAATTCTCACATGAAAGCTTGATCCTGTAACTTGTGGATCTCTTTAGCATGAATATGGCTAGAGCGAAAAGGCGCCTTCTGACGAATGTGTTTAGATAACCGCGTGCAAACGGGATTCTCAAGTTGAATTTTCTAGCTTACGAAACTAGCTGCAGGGTGTCCCAAAAGTCTTGTAGCCTAGTATCTTTCGTGATTAAAACAGTACGAAACGACGAAGAGATACACGATTTGGGGCACATGTTACTCAAACAATAACAAATGCAGTACAATACTCTAGCTTAGTGAAAGCAATTTTTCTTGTTAATGGAAGCCTTCAAACTGTTGGCGATTGCAGCTGCAGCGGCACGCAGATAGTCGTCATCAATTTCGTCCCACGCCTTCACGGGAATAGTTCCTATCGCTTAGAGAATGTGCGACGTGATAAAGCAAGCTTCCAGCTACAACACATTTTGAAGAAAGTTTTTTGTAAAATTTGGGATTGGATTATAGGAAAGTTAATGCATGCGTAGACCTCACGTTGGAGATTTTGGACAAAATTGCGGGAAGCCAAAACAGAATGGCTACAAAGTGTTTTGAAGCCAAATTCGTCATTTAAGTAGATTTAAAACCTCATCTAGAAGACTTATAGAAAGAATACTACCTTCGATTCAGTGACTGTTTCAGCTCTACAGATTCAAAATTAATTTTAAAGACATAGTGACCGCGGCATGCACTTAAAATTTCCAAATTTCTGTCTCGATATGGAATAGATTCTTGAGTGCAGATAGTACAGTAACAGTAGTGCAAAACCTCCTCTATAATGCGGACCTCATATTGTACCAGAATGTTGCAGATACTACAAGCTGATGAATGAATTGTGGAACGAATTGTAAGCCCAAGAAAATAGATTTCAAAACTTTCAGAAAGTCATGGTTTGATAATCTCTTTTTTTCGAAAACATATGAAATCATTCTGGCCTTGCAAAGTGCATATTGTAAAGGATGATTGCGGCATTCTGTGATAAAAATTTGAGATCGAAACTACCAGTGATTCATAAGCTATAGCGATGCAAACCTTAGGCTTCAAGACTTTTGGGACACCCTGTACAATGAGCAGATGCTTAGGGGAACTGTCGCTTCGAAAATGCGTGCATGTCAATGAAAACTTAGCAAAATGGCACAAACTCACCCCAGTTTATATTGCCACACACAGTTCGCCTGAGGATCATTGATTTGATCCACCGCAGAGAAATTCGCGCCAACAGAATATATCAAAGCGTTCCTAAATAAAAGTAACCACCTTAATTTATCAGTCATTGGCAAATCAATAAAAAAATCCGCATTACCACATACTGGTGATTTGCTCCTGGTTGTCCAAATACAAGTCTTTCAGTTGATACTTGGACGATTTTCCTGCTACCTAAGTTTCCATTTTGATTGACCATATTTAGAAGCGAAAGCGAAGCGAAGCAACTTCTATTGCAAAAAGTTGGAACCTATGAACTGGCTCTAGAACAACTGACCTACCTAACCGAATCACTAACCTACATAATACTAAGACTATTTTCTTTGTTTTTTTTTAAAGCTTTGTTCTTCGTTTCATTTCTAGACTGAGTATTTCTAGAAGGTTTGTTATGTTTATCGAATAGAAGTCTGTGCGCTAGACCGTTAGCAAGGTTTCCCCTTCCTGTTGGTATCCTGTTTCGAAAGAAACTCAATATGTAAAATGACAAATCAACGTAAACTAAACAAGGATGAAAAAGCCTTTTTCGTGCGCTCACATTCCGATCAAAAAATTCTGCTCTCAAAATATTTACTGGAAAGGAGAAGAAAGTGCATCATTATTGCTTTTCTGAAACAAATGTTTTCTCCATGCTGGAAACTTTAGGGGGAACCCAATATATAAGGCTCAGTGGCGTATCCAGGATTCCCGTCTCGGGGGGGGGGGGGGGGCAACAAAGAAATTTTCCGAAGCTTCATGACTCCGAAAAAATTTTTGGTTTCTAAAAAACGCCAACAGAAAAAAATTTTTACAAGGCTAAACTGAAATTTTGAAAAATTGAAAATTATTTTTTCATTTACACATAAAAAGAAGTCACTTGCACATCTTCATGACTCATATAGATAACTTTCAAAACTTTTGCGACCCAATCTGGGGGGGGGGCAAAAAACAAGTTCAGTCGTTTTTTAGCGGTTTGTGAAAAGTACCAATCAATTTGCGTGATAATGACGAAAAGTCGTGATGAAATAATTGCTGTCTGAATTGTTATACAGCATTGAATTTGCATGTCAAAACAAATTCTGACAGCAAACCTAATATTTCTGATCTGATCGGGCCAAAATTTTGTATATACAACTTTAGAGAAGCTGCTAAGATAGCTATTTTTCATAAACAATCATGGTTCATTTTTTTCTCGCAAATGGTAAGCTGCAATGCTGGGACTAGGCTCGGCGTCCTGATAATGTATATACATATAATGGTTTCCTCAACGAATTTTCCCAAGAGCCTCAAGACAGCAAACAGCTGATCACAAACATGATAAAAATATACAAACATCAAATGCTTTTGTCATTATAATCTGTGCTGCGACATGCCTAAAAACGGCACAGGCACACACAAGTAATCAAAAACATTACAGGTATATCACTAATGGGTTAATATCGAATGTTTTACTGATCGCTTATGTCGTAGTCTTGGCATTAGAGTAGAAGTATTACTAGAAGTGAATTCAGATGGTGAATGACAATATTATTTGTTGACAGGGGACGAGAGGAGCCGGATATGTCAGTTTGCATTTGTGAGCTTTATTAGTAAAATAACCTCAGTTTACAAACCTTGAATCTCGTGTACTCATTGGACCAAGACGACAATGCTTTGGGAGATCCTGGAGTCCGATCTCCCATCATTTCCACTCTGAGTGTTACATCTTTGTCTTTTTCTGTCAGCTGATGTAACAACTGAAGTCCTAACCAAAAGTTGGAACTCTGCAATTACTTGCTGCACTTCGATCTATTTATAATGTTCAAAAAATTACATTAGTCATTCCTGCTTTGTTGAAGCCATTTTTGTAGTCATTCCAAGCTCTATTCCAAAAGGATTCGTTGTTGTTCACACGACTGAAATTAATTAAACAGTTTATGAAAATTTCTCGGCTCAAAAACTTAGATCACGCTAGAAGGTATGTGCTAAGTTTAAGACATATAAATGCGTCTGTAGTTTCAAATTTGGACGGAATGAGCCTACTTAGGTTCAAAGGATTCGCTCATCGGAAAGTTATCCTCCGGCAATTTTCTTTCAAATATGAAATTGAACAATTTTGAAAGCAGATTCAGCACAAAAGCTCAAAAATCTCCAAGTTAAGTGCAGTGCGCTTTCTTAAGAGAATTACTTTTGAAAAACTGTCCATCCACCGCCATTATCCATGCTGCAATAAACATTGTGCGAAGTTCCATTGAGCGAGATGTTGTATACTCCGCTGCTGAAAAGTTGAACCTCGATCGTTAAATTCAGAACAGATAATATAAGCTCACTCTTTGTAACCCGCTTTGTACCAGTCAGCACAGTCTGTCATTTTCTGAGGTACTTCACATGCGAAGCAGGGTACAGAATGATAATAATAATCAGATTTCCAGAATCCTCGATAGATGTGAAGTTTTTACAACATATAATCAGTTCATGATCAATAATGCATCGTACCTGTATTCGAATCCACATAGACACACCAATAGCCTCCACTGTTGGGGTAACCTACAATGTTGGTTATCACAGAAGCAGATAAACAGAACCAAATAGTATAAGGTTGTTACAGCAACACCCTCTTCAATATTCCGCCGTGTTCTGCTTTTCTGCAGTATGATAAATTACGAGCGACTGCAAAAGGGTACCGTTTCCCCAGAAAGAGTAGTCGAAACGTGTGCCATCACTCCAGATACCTTGGTAGTTTACAGTTCTCCCGCCAATCCAGATGGTACTGCAGTTACTGGACAAGCCCAGCTCTAAATACTGAAATCATCAACAAAAAGATCTGGTATGTGGAAGCTTTGAGCAGATATACACTGGTTGACTCAAACTACTAACTGCAAACTTATAGCGGTTCACGAAATGCGGCACAAGGTAACCGGTTACGATCCTTTCCTTTTCACTAAGGGATGCTTGCAACACCCCTGCTGGGGAGGGGAACGCAGGTTAAAAGTAAGCTTTACATTCGGAAGCTTTAGATATCTGGATATCACGGTTTGTTCAACAATAAATATTCCTGCTACGGTCCAGTGTAAACACAATGATTAGGAGCGCGAAGATGTATACAGGGTGTACCAAAAAAATGTGAACACTGTTCGAGTAAATAACTTCCTTGCTTTTATGTCCTTCGCTGAGCATAAGGCACCATTCTGTGGAGCGAGGTTCAACTTAGATGTGTAGTATGGCGCGAATCGTCGATCGCTCATCTTTACTGTAGGATTACGGTAGGAACTTCGACAAGGATTTTAGGTTATTGGAGGCCATATTCTGCCTCGGAAGAAAACCAAACAAGCCAAAAACTCTTATACTATGGTAGTGGCAGCCGCTAATTTCGAATATGAAGTTTCAACTTTACTGCGATGCTTCTTTCCAAGGTTATCCCAGGTAAACCGTAATAACCGACTTTCCAGCATTTGTCAGAAATGTGATTACACCGTCAAAAAAGCTGAAAACACTTGTAAAAAGTTGTGCAGCAGAATCAGCGTGCCCGAAAACCCTAGTATACGATTTTACAGATTTTTTGGAAAAAATTTTGTCAAATGGCATATTTCACAATAGATTCACATGCTGAAAGTTCATACCGTAATCCTACAGTAACGAAGAGTGATCGATGATTCGCTCCGTGCTATAAATCTAAGTTGAACCTCGCTCTACAGAATGGTGCCTTAAGCTCGGCGAAAGACATGAAAGCAACGGAGTTATTAACGAACAAAGAGTGTTCACATTTTTTTGGGACACCCTGTATATGTTACGGATTTTTGTATGATCTCCTAGATATCCCAGCGGACGACTGTCTTTTTTTAGAGACACTTTTCTTTTTTCCAAGTCAATAAATACATCCAAAGTTGGACACTATCTAACCCAACGATAAGCATGTTTCTGAAAAGAACCGATGGCTTATCAATGTATTGAAGTTTTCTGTACTTCCCAATATTCGACCCTTGGTCCACTACAATTACATGCTTTCGATGCATCATCTTTTTTCAATACATGCTTAGCAGGACCCAGCATGGTGTGGCAACATCGGTGAAACGAATTCGCCTTTTGCTGCTACCAATTATTTTCACTTATGTATACATGTGTGGATTGTAGTGTGCAATTATAATTGCACACTACAATCCCTTAGAGGTGTAACCGTGAATTTTCAGCTTTTCGCGATCCCTAGTTTTCGATAAATCTTTATTTCAGCATGAAACATTCGGGTGAGGAGAGCTAAAATCAATATTTCTCATAAACTAGGACCTGTGAGAACTGAAAATCTACGGTTATACTTTTGAGAGATTGTAGTATACAATTACAAAAGTGGAAACAGCTTAGCTTCCTTTTTGTAAAAAGTTGGGGATTTTCGCGTTCCTGATTTCCAGGTGAGGAAAATATCTAGGAAAGGTACATGTGAGTATCTGACGAAGTGTGTAATTTTGCGAGCAAGTTGGAGGATTCATAGGACTTTTTGAACGAAGACATAAATTTTTCGCAATATTCCGAGCGTTCAGTAAGACTCACATTTTGGATGCAAACTTAAAATGGGTCGAAGTTGGGGCGAACCTTTGCCGAACATTTTGTAATGCTTGCTTTGCTCTATCGAATGGTGCCCTAGACCCTATTGAAAATGTGAACTGCATGTCTTATCGCCGCAAGGAGTTAGAGTGTCTCAAGACTTATGTTAGGGAGACGGCCCTTCTGAACCCACCATCCTTTACAGTAATCTAGAACTAGGACGCGCGCGCATACGCTGCGATGACTGCGGACGAGTGCTCCGCGAAGGGCTCGTATTTTCGAAAATCATCAACTCCCTTCGTGCGGCTCTTGCATAATGGAATTCAAGCCAATCACGCTGATTTCAACCAAACACAGCTACCATCCTCTGAATGTTTGGTATTCTGAGCCTACTTCCCAGCAGGTATGTTTATGATTTATGGGACATTTTCGAAGTCTTTTCATTTCCATGATTCATGAAAAAACTTTTCGTAAATCTCCTTTGAATCTTTCAAACGTTGTTTTTTTGCTTTTTTTCCACTTATACCACTTGTGTGTGCGATCCTTATAACGTCGTGCATCGTCACATCATATTGCTAATGTGAGCTGCTTGATGTTATTGAGGAAAGCCCACGTAATCAAAGTTTGTGTAACAACTCTTTATAAAGGCCAGTTATAACTTAAATTGGTGATCTGCGCTAATTCGCTATCAAATGTGTATTTCCTTCTGACATTTCAGTGCAGCTCTGAAGCTTTCCAAGAAAATTATCATCTCCTTAAATTTCTCATTCCTAGTAAACTTTACGAACGCGCATTTGGAATTTTTACGCTATAAATAGCATGATCCGTGCAGCAAAGAAAAGGTCGCTACCAAAATCACAAAATCAATCCATGTAGATCATGCTACCAAATGAAGGTAATGCATTTTTATTTGATCGCGTTTTTGTTACGGTGTAAAAGAAACTTCGTACTCATCACTGAAAAAAACGTATGCTTCCCTACTGGCACGTATGTAGTGCACATTTCAATTGAATGTGACTAGATGATGCTGCAAGGAGGCAGACGTAGGAGAGTAAAGCGTGCAATCGAACTAAAAAATATTAGGTTGGCTAACAAATAAGTTCGGTTTGATGTGCTATTTCGAAATTTAATAACAATTCAACTAGCAGATTTTTAGCAGAGATTTTTTTTGCGAATAGATAGCTTCAGCCCTCTACTATTATATATCAAATACTCACAATTTTCCTTTATCAATAATTAGCAATTATGCCTTTGTATGGCTAGCCTTTTAGAAATTTCGTTTTTTGAATTTCAGTTTTTTTTGTTTGTTTTTGGGCAATTTTCAGTCAGTTTTTGGGCAATCCAGACCGATTGAGTTGGGTTATCTATGGACGTGCAAACTGTTGGAAATTTCAAAAATTGTCGCGTGGATGCCAATTGTGCTACTCATACCCAACTTCACCTCATTTTTCGGGGCGTGATTTTTCGGAAATTCGATGAAAAAATCTGACTATTTCACTTTCCTGCACAAATTCGTTGTCAAAATGACGACTGGCACTCAAGCAGGGTTGACCATCCGATTCTTCCTAATTTGCTCTTTCCAATGCTACCAAACACTCTTACATAGATTAATTTCTAAAATTTCTACAGACCGTTGAAAACGACCGAACTTATTTTTTAGCCAACCTAATAGTAAAATGAGTCGAAAAGACATTGAAAATGTCTCATAGATCAAGAACATAATACCTTAGAAAGTGGCCGGCGATTTAAGTAGTGTGGAGTAGAGCGAATAACTTAGGTTATTGAATTCTAGGGAGTTTGGGGAATTTAGGAATTTTCTAGAGAGAATTACCTCCAGAATCTCGTTGTGGAGTAAGTTACCAGCGATGTGAAACTCGTCCGCCTCCGCAGCGCGTCTGCCCAGGTCAGCCGCTCGCTCCCGCGAGCTAGCCAATCATGGAGTGACCTCTAATTAGCGCTGACCTCTTATAGCCGTCGCGATCGGGGCAGGTTCAGAAGGGCCTACACCCCTTATGTTACAGCCTAATATACATTTCCGCTCATAATTCGTCAAAAAAGTCGCCGGACTGCGTCGCACACCGCCAGAGTGCGCTGCAATGCGCCGGAGTGCGGCAGAGTGCGCCACACTCCACTAGAATCATCTGGAGAGCAGCGGGGTGCGCCGAACATTACTAGAGTCGTCGGAATCCGCGTCTCATCGCCATATCTCGCTTCGGAATGGACGAATTCTGAATCTGAGGACACCGTTCGATTCAGCTCGGCGAGGCGCATCTTAGAAGTGCCACAATCTAGCAGAATATGATAGGTATACGCTAGACAGTAAGTTTTCGCTCAATTCTGCACATTTTTGTTTGGTTAAATAGTTTAGTGCTGATAACAGTATTGCCATTGATTTGTCTGATCGCACATAGGAAGTAACTATAGGAGTATGGCAGAGAGTCACTCTGATCGAATTTGTTCTAAAATCTGAGATTATAATACCGCTCACAAAGTGTCAAAATTTCCGTGAACTTCGCGTAATTCCGGGATTTCCGCCAAAGTCCGCGATTATCCGGGAAGTTTGCGACATTCCAGAATCCGCGGAGTCATGGGAATCACGCAAAATACGCAACGCAATAACTTAATTCGGAAGGAATAAAATTCAATTCCGGAAGCAGCATTGTGTTCAGATCGTCAAATTTTAGGCAAGTCCCGCCGGAGTGCGCTGCAGTGCGCCGGAGTGCAGCAGATTTTGCGAGGCAAATTTTTTGATGTACAGCATGCCCTCGCAAGACTCCCGGTTTTCTCGCGAATTCTCATTTTATGGACGGATCTCCGGCGGGACTTAACTGCGAATGTCTGAGATATATAAGATGATGTGTCTCGCCGAGCTGAATCGAACGGTGTCCTCGGATTCAGAATTCGTCCACTGAAGCAAGTTTTTCATTTTCATACTTTGTTTCCACTAGCCTCGCTTCGTTCACTTACGAAATTTGGTGCCATATCGTTACGCATGCATTAAGAGCTAGTCATGTATGCTGTTACAAATAGCATCGTTCAAGCGACGTCGCGCGTGCGGCAATTAGCGACGGCGCGGTTAGCTCCAGTGTTCGCCTATTGAGGCAAATAACATGTTGAGATACTCAGAGAGCATGAACTGCCAATTTTTTACCCGGGCTCTGCCCGGACCCCCCCCCCAAAAAAAAAACAACATCCCTCAAAACCATTTCTAGCCTGTCATTTGCCAACCTCGTGCTGGGCACTGATGCTTAGCATGAAC